ACCTCTGACAAAGTGCCACAATGGGCGCGCACTCAGGACGTGGGCAAGCGCACAGAGACCTAGGCAGAGGCTAATGCGAGGGACCCAGGGCAAGGCTCCGGATCCTCGTCACTTCAGAAACCAAGTCACTCGGGGCATGGAATGGTTTCCCCTGCGTCTTGTGTGTTCGATCCCCTTTTGCAGTCCCTTCATTTTAAAGGCAGGTTCTCTTACAACGCAATCCCACCTTGGCGCTGCCTCAGGGGATGAGGAAAGCACGGGTCTGGATTCCAACTTCAGCTGCAGCTTTAAAGGGAGCAATGGTCCCCAGGGGGCACTGGTCAGTGGTGGCTGCAGGCCAGGCCCACAAGGGGGCAGGGGGTAGGGGGCCAGCCCCTCCTTGGGACCTCCTTCACAGGGGATGTTGGCATTCTCCCGGCAGGGTCACCTCAAGCCTTCCTCCCACACTGAGCCTCTGGGAAGGCAACCCCCACCCCGCGACGTCCCTCCCACCGACCTCTCATTTCAATCAGTTGGTGCGCACCAGTTGCCCTCCCCTTTCCACACAGCCCCAGGAGGCTGGTCTGAAATGAAGCCCTCCACCAATCGCTCTCCACGAAAGTGAGGACACTGTCGTCAAGGAGCTGCTTGTCATCTGATGGGATGATTGCAGGAAAGGAAGGCCCAGCTACCTACTCCCACAGAACGCTCTTCTCGGTAAAGATGCGCCCACAGCTGGAACCAGAGGAGCGAGAAAGCGGCATGGATTGGGGCCGAGAATGGGACCGGGAACGGAGAGGCAGAGAGCTGGAGAAGGCGGCCCCTAGCTGGGCCGCCCGAGATCGCCAGCCCCCAGCCCGCCCGCTCGAGGTTGGCTCTGCCTTCGCCAGGGCCCTGGCTCCCAGCACGCGAGGCTGGCCTCTCGCCACTCCACCGTGGCGCCTGACGGGTTCCCTCTCATCGGTCTGGGGAGCTACTGCCCGCCCTCCGGCCCGCCTGCACCTGCTCCCCGTCCTGACCACCAAACCCGGAGTTCCACCCCAGCCACTGAGCGCACGCACACCTGTCGGTGCGCCCGGCTGTGACACTGGGTCTCAGTCCTCACCGTGCGGGACATGGCTCTAGACAGATGGCGGGGTCCACACAGAAAGTACACACACGCGGGGCCGGGCCTCGCACACAGACCAGCACAGGCACGCACTCACGCCCACAGGCAGAGGAGGCCCGCTCCGGGAGGTCCCCGCCCCCTGGCGCCGCAAGCCCGCTGACCGCGCCCCGCCCAGCCCGCCGGCCGCCTACCTGCAGCATCACCTTGTACTGCTCCTCCGGCTTCTGCACTACG